TGTTCATATCGTATACTAGGTAATAACGTATGTATCATCAGTGTGATGACTTTGTATGTATCTGATGTCAGTTATTTCTGTTGTTATCTTGGTAGTTTCTGCAGCACAGAGAGACCTTACTGTTTGTAGTGAGTGTAGCACTTGCTGCCTCCGTCATGTCAGGTTCCTGTCTTCTACAGACCTGTACTCACCTATATGCTCACCTATGTGTGGTTGCAGGGGTCGAGTCACAGCTCCTGGCCATCGGCTCTTCGCTGGTCGCTTTTAGGTCCACTCTCTCCTGTTCTCGGAAGTTTTATAGTACCTTTTCTTGCGCGCGCGCGCGCGCGCGCGGTGTGTGTGTGTGTGTGTGTGTTGTGTGTGTGTGTGTGTGTGTGTGTGTGTGTGTGTGTGTGTGTGTGTGTGTGTGTATGTGTGTTGTATGTGTGTGTGTGTGTGTGTGTGTTTATGCATGCTTTCACCGATTTGTACTCAACTGGATTTGTGTTTACGGAGATCGAGACTTAGCTCCTGGCCCCGAATTCAACCACCTTGAGATCAAAGAAATGCTTCCTGACATCCCTGTGGTTCATCTGTGTCTTCAGCTTCCTCCTGTGTCCTTCATCCTGGTCCTCCTAATTCAAACAGTTTGTCTCTATCAAATCTATCAGTTCCTATTACGATTTCATATGTAGTGATCATGTCCCCTCCCACGTCCTTCTCTCCTCTAAGGTCAAGTTCAGTTCCTATAACCTTTCTCACAGCGTATTCATCTCAGTTCTTGTACTAATTAGACTGACTGCAAACCTTTAGACATTTTATTACTATTCTGAGGTTAGCCAGTATTGCACATGTCTTAGACGTCATATAGTAAATGTGCAGTTCCGGCAATATATTTGGAATTATATTCGTCCTCAGGTTCTTTTCACTCCCCTCCTCCCATACTGTACCGTGTCCGATTTGCTCTCTCTCTCTCTCTCTCTCTCTCTCTCTCTCTCTCTCTCTCAAACGCATGACCGTACATTTCCTTGGTAGAGTAGCCACTTCTCTGACCACATCTGCAATCTTTTGAAGCTTCTCTGCAGTTTATCACTGTCCTCTCCTGATCGTACTCGTCTCATTACTTTTATATTATCATCAAACAGTGATACACAGGACTCAGCCAACTCTGGTAGATCATTCACGTATATCAGGAACAGTAGTGGTCCTAACACTGATCCTTGGGGAACCCGCACTCTGTGTGTCTTTACTCGCCTATTTGTGGTTGCAGTGGTCGATTTACAGCTCCTGGCCCGCCTCTTCGCTGGTGTGTGTGTTTGTGTGTGTGAACTCATCAATCAATCCTCACCTACACGTGGGTACACGGATCAAGTCTAACACAATTTAACACGTATTCACCACCGTTTAAGACAAATATATATTATAAACATGGATTTAATGTTTGTTAACACGGCTTCAGCGCTAGTTTATATGATCACGTTACTACATAACAATCAACACGATTTTAACACCTGTTAAGAACGTTACAATGCTAGTATACTGATTGTAACTCTAGTTAACATGATTCAAACCCACGTTAACACGATTGGAACACTAGTTAACACAATTCAAACACTGATTAACAAGACTAATACATTAGTTAATACAGCAGGTGAAATCGCAGATCTAGAGAGTGTACAGAGATCCTTTACTGCACGTATAAGTTCTGTCAAGCACCTTAACTACTGGGAACGCTTGGAAGCACTTGACTTGTACTCGTTGGAACGCAGGAGGGAGAGATATATCATAATCTACACTTGGAAAATCCTGGAAGGAATTGTCCCAAATCTGCACACAGAAATCACTCCCTACGAAAGTAAAAGACTGGGCAGGCGATGCAAAATGCCGCCAATAAAAAGTAGGGGCGCCATTGGTACAATAAGAGAAAACACCATAAGTGTCCGGGGCCCAAAACTGTTCAACAGCCTCCCATCAAGCATTAGGGGAATTGCCAATAAACCCCTGGCTGCCTTCAAGAGAGAGCTGGACAGGTACCTAAAGTCAGTGCCGGATCAGCCGGGCTGTGGCTCGTACGTCGGACTGCGTGCGGCCAGCAGTAACAGCCTAGTTGATCAGGCCCTGATCCATCGGGAGGCCTGGTCGTGGACCGGGCCGCGGGGGCGTTGATCCCCGGAATAACCTCCAGGTAACCTCCAGGTAACCTCGAATACTTGTTAACTAGGGTAAAATAATAGACTGGTCAACACGACTCAAACACTAGTTAACACCACTAATAAATTAGATAACACGACAAATGCAGGAGTTAACACGCAAATACAGTAGTTAACACTACAGATACACTAGGTAACAGGAATATTACACTAGTAAACACGACAAATACACTAGTTAAAAGGAATATTACACTAACACGACAAATACACTAGCTAACACGAATATTACACTAGTTAACACGACAAATGCACTAGGTAACACGAATATTACACTAGTTAACACAGCTCACAAAGTAGTTAACTTGACTGAGGCACTTGTTAACATAGATCAAGCGGTACACTAATTAACACTACTCTTAAACTAGTTAACACTACTCTTAAAAAACTTTAAACGACGTTTTGGTTCATCACAGACCATTATCAAGATAATGGTCCAAGACCGAGACGTCGTTTCAGATTTCCTTTCTAAAGTCTGGCTTATTTATGAATAAAAAACAGATACTGACACGAGTCTCTAACATATTGTTTCAGATTGTCGAAGAAACATGCAAAAAGTAAACTGAACATTAGTTAATACCACTCAAACATTAGTTAATACCACTCAAACAGTAGTTAATACCACTCAAACAGTAGTTAATACCACTCAAACATTAGTTAATACCACTCAAACATTAGTTAATACCACTCAAACATTAGTTAATACCACTCAAACATTAGTTAACACGAATCAAACATTAGTTAATACCATTCAAGCATTAGTTAATACCACTCAAACATTAGTTAATACCACTCAAACATTAGTTAATACCACTCAAACATTAGTTAATACCACTCAAACATTAGTTAATACCACTCAAACATTAGTTAACACGAATCAAACATTAGTTAATACCATTCAAGCATTAGTTAATACCACTCAAACATTAGTTAATACCACTCAAACATTAGTTAATACCACTCAAACATAAGTTAATACCACTCAAACATTAGTTAATACCACTCAAACATTAGTTAATACCACTCAAACATTAGTTAATACCACTCAAACATTAGTTAATACCACTCAAACATTAGTTAATACCACTCAAACATTAGTTAATACCACTCAAACATTAGTTAATACCACTCAAACATTAGTTAATACCACTCAAACATTAGTTAATACCACTCAAACATTAGTTAATACCACTCAAACATTAGTTAATACCACTCAAACATTAGTTAATTCCACTCAAACATTAGTTAATTCCACTCAAACAGTAGTTAATACCACTCAAACAGTAGTTAATACCACTCAAACAGTAATTAATACCACTCAAACATTAGTTAATACCACTCAAACAGTAGTTAATACCACTCAAACATTAGTTAATACCACTCAAACATTAGTTTACACCAATCAACCATTAGTTAATACGACTCGAACATTAGCTAACACGAATGAAACATTAGTTAACACGAATCAACCATCAGTTAATAGGACTCAAACATTAGTTAACACAACTAAAATATTAGTTAATAAGAATAAAAAATTAGTTAACACGAATCAAACATTAGTTAACACGAATCAAACATTAGTTAATACCACTCAAACATTAGTTAATACCACTCAAACATTAGTTAATACCACTCAAACATTAGTTAATACCACTCAAACATTAATTAATACCACTCAAACATTAGTTAATACCACTCAAACAGTAGTTTACACGAATCAACCATTAGTTAATACGACTCAAACATTAGCTAACACGAATCAAAAATTAGTTAACACGAATCAAACATTAATTAACACGAATCAAACATTAGTTAACACGAATCAAACATTAATTAACACGAATCAAACATTAGCTAACACGAATCAAACATTAATTAACACGAATCAAACATTAGTTAGCACGAATCAAACATTAATTAACACGAATCGAACATTAGTTAACACGAATCGAACATTAGTTAATAGGACTCAAACATTAGTTAACACTAATCAAACATTAGCTAATACGACTCAAACATTAGTTAACGCGGATCACACATTAGTTAGCACGAATCAAACATTAGTTAACACGAATCAAACATGAGTTACCACGACTCAAGCACTCGCCAACTTGGCTCCAACACCAGCCAACATGGCTCCAACACTCGCCAACATAGCTCCAACACTCGCCAACATAGCTCCAATACTCGCCAACATAGCTCCAACACTCGCCAACATAGCTCCAACACTCGCCAACATAGCTCCAACACTCGCCAATATAGCTCCAACACTCGCCAATATAGCTCCAACACTCGCCAACATAGTTCCAATACTCGCCAACATAGCTCCAACACTCGCCAACATAGCTCCAACACTCGCCAATATAGCTCCAACACTCGCCAATATAGCTCCAACACTCGCCAACATAGTTCCAATACTCGCCAACATAGCTCCAATACTCGCCAACATAGCTCCAATACTTGCCAACATACTCTAACATGCAAATAAGCTCTGTCATTGGTTAATATGGTTCCGACACACGCCAACATGACTCCAACACTCGTCAACATGGCTTCTACATTCGTCAGCTTGGCCCCAACTTTCACCAACACGGCTTCAGCACTCATCAACACATCTCCAACACTCACCAACATAGCTTCAACGCTCCCTCCCACACACCACGTGAGAAACACACTGAAGACCAGTCATCAGCAGAGACAATAATCCAATCATGTGGTAGCTGGAGCACGGCAGGTGTCAGGCAGGTGAAGGAGGGGAGGAGAGGGAGGGGGTGACTTACGTCAGTGTCAAGAGGTGGGGGAGGCAGTGCTTACCGTGTGTGGTGGGTGCCAGAGCTGAGACAGCAGCACACACACTGACTGCCCAATAGTGCCCACGGCAACTAAGCTTCCCGGCCATCAATGGCAACTCCCCCGGGGCACAACACGATGCCAGTTACTTTAATATCTCATTGTCTTCTTGTTTTGTTTAAGGCTGCGGCTAATTGCTATTGTTTTTGCTTTTTTTTTAAGAAAATATGTTAAATAGTAGTAGTTGCTTATTTCTTGTCGAGACTGAGGAGTAAGTGAAGTCTCGTGTCTCTCTGTGATGGTATTTCGTTAACCCTAATTGTGGAATATTTGATGTGTTTTTATTATGGAGGACCACATGTGGTGTCACTGTTACCATTACCAGTGCCACCACTGCCACTGGATTACATCTAGTGCCACTATCACTATTACCAGTGCCACCACTACTACTGGACTACATCTGATTTCACTGTCACCATTACCAGTGCCACCACTACTACTGGACTACATCTTGTGTCACTGTCACTATTACCAGTGCCACCACTACTACTGGACTACATCTGATTTCACTGTCACCATTACCAGTGCCACCACTAATACTGGACTATATCTGGTTTCACTGACACCATTACTAGTGTCACCACACTACTACTGGACTACATTTAGTGTCAGTGTCAACATTACCAGTGCCACCACTGCCATTGGACTGCATTGGGTGTTACTGCCATGATGACACTCTTCAGGTCACTTGTTCTATCTAGGCTGGAATATTGCTGCACACTAACAGCACCTTTCAAGGCAGGTGAAATTGCTGACCTAGAAAATGTACAGAGAACCTTCACGGCGCGCATAACGGAGATAAAACACCTCAATTACTGGGAGCGCTTGAGGTTCCTGAACCTGTATTCCCTGGAACGCAGGCGGGAGAGATACATGATTATATACACCTGGAAAATCCTAGAGGGACTAGTACCGAACTTGCACAGGAAAATCACTCACTACGAAAGCAAAAGACTTGGCAGACGATGCAACATCCCCCCAATGAAAAGCAGGGTGTCACTAGCACGTTAAGAGACCATGCAAAAAAGTGTCAGGGGCCCGAGACTGTTCAACTGCCTCCCAGCATACATAAGGGGGATTACCAACAGACCCCTGGCAGTCTTCAAGCTGGCACTGGACAAGCACCTAAAGTCGGTTCCTGATCAGCCGGGCTGTGGCTCGTACGTTGGTTTGCGTGCAGCCAGCAGTAACAGCCTGGTTGATCAGGCTCTGATCCACCAGGAGGCCTGGTCACAGACCGGGCCGCGGGGCGTTGACCCCCGGAACTCTCTCTAGGTAAACCCCAGGTATATATATATATATATATATATATATATATATATATATATATATATATATATATATATATATATAATATATATATATATATATAATTGTAACCACGAACGAGTGGTATTGATCAATAACAACACTGCGACTAGCCAAGGACTCGAACCCATGCTGCTTTGGCTCGCCTCATGGTGAGCGGAAACTCATGACGCTCTAACCCAAAGGACCACGCAGTCCTACAAGAATGACGCATCCAGCCAAGCTAGGTGTTTTACCGTCATCCGAGGACATACTGCTCGTTGTGCTGGTACATCAAATAGTGAGTAGACTGAAAATATCTCAGAGGCACCCACAGCACCGTATGTCCTTGGATGACGGTAAAACACTTAGCTTGGCTGGGTGCGTCATCTTATAGGATTGCATGGTTCTGTGGGTTAGAGCATCATATGCTTTCGCTCACCATGAGGCGGGCCAAAGCAGCATGGGTTCGAGTCTTTGGCTAGTCGCAGTGTTGATATATATATATATATATATATATATATATATATATATATATATATATATATATATATATTTTATATTATATATATATATTATATATATATATGCAAAACAACTACTGTGAAATACTAGAGAAATTCCAAGGGCTTTCGTGACTACTCACTTTTATCAAGGAACAATTGTTCCTTGATAATGTGAGTAGTCATGAAAGCGATTGGAATTTCTCTATTCTTGCACAGTAGTTGTTTTGCATATATATATATATATATATATATATATATATATATATATTATATATATATATATATATATATATATATATATATATATATATTTATGTACACACACAAAACAACCACAGGGAAGTTGAATAATAGGTCTAGGCATTTCGTTTTGCAATCAACACATCAGGAACTCACAATGTTGCAGAAAAAAGCTGGTCCAAGCAAATGTGATGACAGGGAGCACCATTCCTGGAGTGAGACAGAGAGGCTGGAGGCAGCAAGCAGGAAGGCAGGAAGTGCCCCCAAGCATATCAATACCCATAGGCAGAGAGATTGAATATTATAGCATTAGAAAAACAGCCAGCCCACAAGCACTGATATTGTAATAGAAGCCTAACAAACGTGACCTGGCAATTATCAAAAATTCGGTCAGTCTATGCTATGATATAAATAACTTTACATAACAAATATAGATATCACTGGCAATTATCTTAGAAGTTTCTGCATTTCTAGAAAACAGGTCTGCTTGAAGGGACACGTTTAAAAGGAAACATCTGTAAGTTATACAGAAGGAGACAGACATAGTTTATCTATCGCACAAGCTTCTGGGGAAGACACTGGATATGATGTAAATGATTTTACATAATAAATATAGATAGATCTAGCAGCTGTCTTTGTAATTTTCGCACCTCTAGAAAAAGGGTCTATTTATAGCGACTCATTTAAAGAAAGAGGCATCTGTAAATTCAAGGAAGATGGCCATAGTTTATCTATCCTACAGGAGTCGGAGGCAAGCACTGGTCTAGTAAAAAACAGGATAAAAGGCCCTAATTCCTTGGTGTGGCACTATATTTAAGACAGTTGAACATATTTGTATAAGAGTCCTATTTTTGGCTATGTACAATTGCCTCAACTAAAAACGAATCTAATTTGAACAACCAGCCACTGGTATTAAATAATGAACGCTTATCATCCTTTATAATTGCTGATTCTTCAGTATTCTGTTCAAAATGAACAAGGGACAATGACTCTTGCTTTTGACCAGCTTACTGGGTTACTGCAAGCTCTAATGTGTCTGAAAATTGCATTTATTTCCTGTGCAGTATGCAAAGAATAATGGTGTTGTGATATCCTAACATCTAGAGGTATGCCAGTCTGTCTGACATAGAATAAGTTGCAATCATTGCAGTTAATTTTGTAGACACCACCAACAAACTGTTGAGGAATTCTTAAAATTATGTGTACTTTCAAAAATTTTAAGGGCATTTGGCAGGACAGATAAACCTGTCATTGTATGAGAGAACTAGCACATTCTTGATATGAGGTATCCTGGAACAGGTAAACACTGGCCATCTTCCATGAAATTACAGATGCCTCCCTTTTATAGGAGTCTATAAATGGATCCCCTTTACTAGAGGTGCGAAAATTCGAAAGACAGTTACCAGATCTATCTATATTTGGTATGTAAGGTCATTTATATCATAGCCAGTGTCTGCCTCAGAAGCTCGTGGACTGGATAAACTATGGCTGTCTCCTTTTATATAGCTTACAGATGTGTCCCTTTAAATGTGTTCCTTTAAATGAACCCGTTTTCTGAACAATAAAATGGTATAAAATACCGACAGGTTGTTAGGTAAGACACATATGCAACAGTTAGGTATCTTTATTTCGAAACGTTTCGCCTACACAGTAGGCTTCTTCAGTCGAGTACAGAAACTTTTCTGTACTCGACTGAAGAAGCTTACTGTGTAGGCGAAACGTTTCGAAATAAAGATACCTAACTGTTGCATATGTGTCTTACCTAACAACCCGTTTTCTAGAGGTGTGGAAACTTCTAAGATAATTGCCAGTGATATCTATATTTGGTATGTAAAGTTATTTATATCAGCATAATCTGACCAAATTTTTGATAATTGCCATGCCATGTTTGTTAGGCTACTATTATAATATCAGTGCTTGTGGGCTGGCTGTTTTTCTAATTCTATAATATTCAATGTTTCTGCCTTTGGGTATTGGTATGCTTGGTGGCCCTTCCTGTCTTCCTGCCTCCTGCCTCCAGCATCTCTGCTTTGCTCCATCAAAAGCACTCCCTGTGATCATATTTGCTTGCACCTCCTCTTTTCTGCAACACTGCATGCTCTTGGTGATGTGCTGATTACAACACGAGAGGCCTAGAGGTATCATTGAACTCCTCTTGTGGTTGCTTTGCAATTTGCATCACTAGTTCGCGATTTTTGCATTGCATATATACAGTGGAACCTCTGGTCATGACCATAATTCATTCCAAAACTCTGGTCGTGACCCGAACCTAATTTTCCTATTGGATTGTATGTAAATATGATTAATCCATTCCAGACCCCTATGAACTGCATGTAAATATTGTTTTTTAAGATTTTTAAGCACGAAAATAGTTAATTATACCCTAGAATGCACAGTGTAATAGTAAATGAAATGTAAAAACCTTGAATAACACTGAGAAAAAATTGAACAACAGAGAAAACTAGAATTGCATAGGTCTGTTCTAGACCCCTATGAATTGTTCACTGTAAACAGTTTTTTTTAAGAGTTTTAAGCACACACAATAAATAATTGAAGTTTAAAAAATCCTTAATTATATTAAATAATGTACAGTTTAATAGAGAAAAAACCTTAAATAACAGAGAAAAAACTTACTATAAACAACCAAGAAAATTAACCTTGCATGAGTTGACTTCTGGCATGAAGGAAATGAGGAGGAAGATAAGTGGGAAGGAGGTTACTGTTTTGAGGGAGAGTTCGCCTCTCGTTTAGCTGGTGGACCTGATCGAAGTGTATAAGTGGAAGATGGGTGTTAATAAAGAGGATATTAACAAGGTCTTGAGGATATCTCTCCAAGAGAGAGCCCGCAGTAGTGGATTTAAATTAGATAAGTTTGGATTTGGAAGGGACATAGGAAAGTATTGGTTTGGAAATAGGGTAGTTGATGAGTGGAACAGTCTACCTAGTTGGGTTATTGAGGCTGGGACTTTGGGTAGTTTCAAATTTAG